AGGATTTCTAATAGAGTCACAGGGTAACAAAAAAAGAGGTACATTGCATATTGTCAGCAGATTCCACAGTCCAATTTCTCATAAACTTTGCAAACTAGAACCTCCTTCTAAATTTACTTTAGCTCCTGAGTTCTGCCCCCCCCCATCCATTGACAGCCATCACCTTGCAGGTAAATGCACATAATTGTTGTTGTTGTTAATTTATATATTGAATTTGCAACTAAACATGTCTCTCTCATATCAGTCCCTACAGACACAGCAGGCGCTGTAACCTTCCAACAGTTTGATTTCTCCTTTGTCCCAAAGCACACTCCTCCATTGTCTCCTGAGACAAAGGTCAACGATATTGAATTTGTTAATTGCTTTATCTTGCTCAGGGGAACCCAAAGCAACCTACAACAAATCAAACAAATGGACAAAAAACACCTCACACTGATACATTAAAACCAAGAGGAAAAAGAAAAACCTCAGAAAAACCTCACTCAGAAGGAACTCCTGGATTTCCTCTGAAAGTCAGTCAGTCAGAAGCACAGATAGAACCTGAGATGGCCAGGGCTTTCTATATATGCCTTGCCTCTCTGCAACTTGCACGGTTAGCATGCTTAGCAGGAAGAAATGTGGGGTCCTTCACTGCCCATCAATGGCCTACTCTCTTTTGCAGAATTCTTGAGTACCGTATTTTTCGCTCCATGAGATGCACCTGACCAATAAGACGCACCTAGTTTTTAGAGGAGGGAAACAAGAAAAAAAATATTCTGAATGAAACAGTGGATGTATGATTTTTGTGGTTCATGCTGTGGCCACAGACATGTGATTTGACGGTGAGTTTGGGGTAGCCCAATACAAAAATCCTGAGAATCCATGTGGATCTGTGCTTTGTAACCACGTCTTTGTGCCACTGTGGCCCCAGGCAACAGTGGATGCATGACCTTTTTTTGGTGCAGGCTGTAGCCATGGACATGCTATGTGATCTGATGATGAATTTGGGGTGACCCAATGTAAAAATCCTGGGCTTTTACCCCCCTCCCAGCGTCCTAGCGTCCCTTATCTCTCTCCCGATCCCACCGATCAGCTGCTTCCTTTCAACACTCCCTTCCCTCTTGTTTGCCTTAGTGTCTTTTCCTTACCTAGAGCAGTTTTTTGCTCCTCCTTTTCTTCTAATTTCTCTCCTCATTGATTTAGTCTTCCTGCCTCCTCTCCTGGCAAGTTTGCTGTCTTTACCTCCGCCCTCCCAGGCAGCCTCTTTTATTGCTAGCGTCCCTTATCTAGCTTCCGATCACTTGCGATCAGCGGCTTTGTTTCAGCACCCACTTCCCTCTTCCAAAAAAAAAAAAGCATGATCTGCTTTTCGCCCCTGGGAAATTTGGCTCCAGGGACCACACATTCGCTCCATAAGACGCACAGACATTTCCCCTTACTTTTTAGGAAGAAAAAAATGTTTCTTATGGAGCGAAGAATGGTATATTAAAGAGAGAAATAGTTAAGGCACCAATCCTGTTCATAGTCAACTGGGAGCAATCCTCAATGAGTGTAGAAGGGCTTATGCCTGAGAATATATGAATAAGGTTGGGCTGCGTGGCATTGTTTGAAAAGTGGTCCAATATTTTATTAATAGCAGGAACTATTTGTCCTGCAATATTGATTTCAGCTGTGGTAAGAGAATGGATTTGAGCCAGAGTTGTTTTAATCTTACAACTCTGTCTGAATTCCAGGAATTATGTTTTTGGTAGTCTTCATTTTTACAGAGGATGTCTGAGGAGTGCATTTATATTAACTAAGCAGGCGGGGAAAGCATAATTTTAATGCATGCTGTTGTTTCAATTCCAGTGTGATAAGTCTGAGAAATGTCCTTAATTAATCTAACATTTATTTTTAATTGATGGAGGGCTAACTGGAACCATCTCTCTTTTATAGCGTAATCTCTCTTTAAATATCACTTATCTTTATAATTAAAAAACTTGCCAATTTTTTTAAAAAATGTAATAGAATTTAATGTAATAGAAAGAGCTGCCTCTTCCTCCAAAGAATGCCATAAGAAAAGTCATGGTCGTTTTGGATCCGTAAACCAAGTGATCTCACCAGTTAACCACAAAGACGAGGGCCTTTTCGGTGATGATGCTCCCTAGAACAGCAAACCCAAAAATGTTTCCTTGGTGCCTTCTTTGTGGGGTTGGTGCCAGATAAAGACCTCTCTGTTCACTCAGTTATTTTAAATAAACGATGTCTGGGCCTCTCTCTGGATTTTAACTTTGGAGGTGCAACTGGACTTGGTTTATGTTGTATTTATGTTATCTTCGATTTTATAGTTTGATGTTTTATTTGTGTTTACATTGTTTTCGTATATGTTACCCAGAGAACTTTGTGTTATGGGGAAGCATACAGATGTCATAAATAAATACCAACTGGACTCCAAGCCTTTCCAAATGAGACACTCTTAATATGTGTCCCAACTTTCTGAGCCGAAGTCCCAGTCCACAGCAATTCGCAGTCTTTGAAACATGCATCTAGCATTCTTAACTTTCTTTACTATAAGGACCTTTAGAACGTCATCTTATATTGTTTGTGACCTATAGTCTCATGGGCACCATATTGCCTTTTCCTAAGGTCATTCAGTTGCTCCCCCTGGTAGAGCCTTTGCTTCAATCACTTCAATGAACTTAAGAAGAAAAGAACTCAGTGAAGCCAGGTCGTCCAAACATAGAAAGGTAAGCACTTATGTTTACTCCCTGTCAAAACCATGTCATTGATTGACTAACAGATGGTTGGTTGCAGCAAGCACAGCTAGGCTTTGTTTTCATCATACCCCTGTGCAGATGGCTACAATGTGAGCATAAGGAATTCATGGTGCTATCCTACTATTCCCTCCAGGTGTTGGTTATCCACCCATTTTCTTCATCAGCACAGGTCTCACTCCTCTCTGTTTGATGGATTCTACTCATGGTCCATTTCAGATGTGATCATGGCTGCTCGTACACCCATTATGTATCTGTCACCTTTATGTATCTGATGAAGTAGACTCTGCTCTGTGAAACCATAATAAATTAGTTAAGTCTGGAAGCTGTATGCAAGAACAACTTTTTGTAGAAAGTAGAGAATGTATTGATAACATAGCCAGGAAACACAGGAGAGAATTTGTGACAACTTAAAAACGTGATTGGGCAGGCTACTATATAGCACAAATCAAATTGGTGGTTTTTGTTTGTTTGTTTTTGTTTTAACATGAATAGGTGAAAAGGGAGCTGCTACTAGATGCTATATTTCAATCTCTTTTTATGGCTAGGACTTGCAAACATGCCCGCTATAAAATTTTCGCCGAAGTAGCTTTTTGAATAGAACTGCTTTCCCAAACACATTGTTCCAAAAGACACCAGACTGCTGGATAAAGATGACCTTAATACTGTGTATAGGAAAATGGATGGCATTCAGAAGACATATATATATAATCACACAAAGTGACTGAATGCAAAACAAGATGAGTCCAGCACATACAGAAATCCGGGATTGTTGTAACGGATTCCATACAAAGATGACTGTCAGTTTTCGTGCAAGTAGAAAAGCAACATGGTCTCAACAGGAAAAACATTATTAACCTTATAGTTTGCAGCCAGAGCTCAGAAAGCTTTTGTTAAATTAAACTTTACTGAACTTCCTTCCACCCACCATCCACAGAGAATTCTAATACCATCTTACTGCATAGACAGACTCAGTGGAAAACAACGAAGTTACTGGAAAGCTAATTTTTCCCATTCAAATCCACAGATGGCAGCCCCACAGAGGAAAGGCTGCTATGGCAACCTTAGCTGGGTTTTTCTGAGAGATGTCCATTGTGGTGTCTTTTATTATGGGATTGCTGACTAATTGTGGACTGCAAGAGAGATGTTCGATGGGATGCTGAAGAGATGCATGCAGTGTTTAATGAGCTGAGATTAAGGAAAGTGATCTGTGCAATATAATATCGGCTGCAGAACACCAGGTGTGGAGGTGAGTGGGCCTGGGATTTTGATATTTTTACAGATGGTGAAAGGGAAATGGACTAAATCCTTTTCTTATTCAGCTTCCACTCTCCCCTGCCCTCCTCCTGCAGCATCAGACAGATGAAGATTTTCAAGAGTTAGTCCCACTTAATAGCTGGCAAGATCATTAAGTGGGTGAGGGCTGAAGTTAAGATTCCCTTTAAGGTTCTTTGCTAGGCCTGCATCTTAGAACAATCTGGACATGGGAAAAAGAAATTCAGCAATCTTGGTGTCTTCTCTCCCTCTGTTATCTCCCCATGGTTAAGCTTCTTTGAGACAGGGACCTATCTCTCTGTTTATGTCCTGAAGCACTATGTAATTTGATAGGTGCTTAGATAATAGATTCATGGAAGTGACTCAATTAAGGAGTAGCCAGTGTGGTGCCCAGTCTTCCAGATGTCATTGGGCAAACTCCCACAATCCCCGATCATTTGTAATGATGGCTGGGCTGATGAGAGCTGTAGTTTTTTGCCCTGGTATATATTTTTCCAGCATGCAAAAGGCAAGGGCATGCATTTTCTTCCTTTCATCTTGATGGGGCTCAAATTCCTGTTTCCTGCTTCCCTATAGAGTGAGCCACTGGTGGATGCTATCAGTGTGTGCCATGGCTCCTCTCTTTGACAAAAGGGTCTTGAACCTCTGTCCCAGGAAGGCTTTGACTGCTTCCTGCTGGTCCTCTGCCAGGACACAGGGATGCGTGTCCTGATCTCCCTCCCCTTTGTTTGTGTGGAGTTCCAAGTCAGTGGTGGTGAGGAGAGACTTGAACCCATGTCTGGAAGGGTGCCTGGGAATTGCTGGCTACATCACTGGGGCTGCTGAAGTGGCAGTTGTATTGATTTGCATACTTCATTGGGCGATTATACAGTGGAGTGTTTCTCAGGCATGTCCCCATTGTTGTGAGCTTATTGGCTACCTCTGTGAATGACAAGTGGGCATTGGTGGCAGCACAGTCCCTGATTGGTAAGTAACAGAGGGATGCTGTATCTGTTATTTTTCTGCCATTTCTGGTTGCATGTGTCTTTCCTCTCCCCTCTCCTCCAATAAGCTGCCATTGGATTTGGCAACTGCTGCCTCTACATAGAAGCAACGTGTTTCTGGAACTGGTATATGTGAGCACAGGATTGCTCTTCCCTTCCTGGAAATGTTTCCATTCCCAAATGCCAAATCATATTGACATTCTGTATACACCTTGCCTTCTGATGATGCAGGATAAATGAGGACAAATGACTCATCTGAACAAGCTGTCACCTGTCTGCTTCCATAATTTACCTGCAGCACAGCAGAACTTGCATCGGAATCAGTTATATTTATTGCTGCCAACACAAAGGTCTTAGGACTGAAGGATTTCCATCTGACAGCTCGTATATGCAGCAGACCAAAATGTACAAGAAGACTATACTGAGGGATCAGGGCAAGAGAAGGGGGCATGTCTTTTATTACTTGCATCAATGGTTCCTGTGCGTGCTTCTTCTCAGAGTCCTGTTATGCTTCTACCCTTGATGTGCAGTGTTGTCACAGAGTCAAGGCCAATTCATCGACTGGTTGTTATGAGATTGGCAAAACAGTGTTTTCCTCCTAAAGTCCAGCTGCATATATATATTAGGGCTATCTTATGCACTAAGCAGAATTATGTAGGAAACGTTTCATACACTGTACCTGTAAGGGAACTGCCTTCAGAACAGGGGTGGGAAACAGAGGGGCAGTTGTGCTACAGGGAGCCTCCGAAAATCTTGCAAAGCAGTTCCTCTCCCGGTGATGAGGAAAACTCCACCTCCAGTGGGAAAGAGGTGAAAGGACCAGAGGAATCTGGTGGGAGCCTCCGCACCACTCCTGGCAAAGCCGGCCAGGAGGGAAGCACGCTCCTTGGGTTGCCCACCCTGCGCAGAAGTCTAAAGCACAAAGAGGGAAGAAAAAGGCTGGGCGTAACGAGGCTTTTATGCTGGGGGAGGTCCAGGAAACAGGAACTCCCGGATTCTGCTAGCGATTGAGGCAGACATGAACTATGGGGTTCTGCACTGTAAATAGTTTGCACCTAAATAAAACCTGTAAAAGACAGGTTGGAGTCCTGCCTGGTTACTCATGAGCAACCACCCTTGCCATCAGACAGTACCATTTGGGCTGAAAGGTGTGGGGGGGGATCACTCTCCCCCAGTGGTGTGCAGTGAAATTTTGTGTAGGGGAAGAGTTAGGGTCAGAGGCACCAGCTTGCGAGGTGGGAGCTAGTGGGGGTGAGGGCAACGTATGTGGTGTCGTCACGCACATGAGCATCACGCCTCACTCCCTGGGAAGAAGCTTCCTGGGTTTTGAGAAGGAGGTGGCAAGGGAACATTTAAGAGAGTAGCCTAGCCCCCTAGGCTCTCTCCCCAATTTTTTTTATTGGCTTTGTGCATATGTACATCAATTTTCAATAACCTTCTTTTTCATAGTCACACATTTTCTAGAGTCATTACATACAAGTATTACAACCAAGATCATGTCTGAAAATAAGTTATGAAATATACCATGAAATAAAAACAAAAAAGTAATTTGCTCCAGTCTTCTAAACTAACCAAATCTGTTATCCAGCAATGCGAAGATGACTCTGGCATGCCTAGATGCTTGTGAAAGCTCTCACTTTTGAATGGCTAGAATGTTGCCAATTGTACAAAAATTAAGAGACATGCCTGTTGTGATGCCCACTTTTCCTCTGTACAAAAACAAACACACCAACTGGCATGCTGGTCCTGGAAGATTGCTGCCCTAGGGCTGAAAATATGTTTTCTAAGATGTCTAATAAGTCCATCTACACCCCACATTTCTTATGTATTGGTCTTCCCAATGTAGCAAGATTTGGGGTGACATTTTTCACTTAATAAGAAGAAAAAAATACTTTGAACATTTATGAAATGTGTGGCACAAGAGAGGTAGAAAAAGGTCTGTAGCTTCAGTGCCGTAGGCTAGGGGTGCTGATCCTGCATTTTAATATACAACTTAAAATTAAACTCATTTTGAAATGATACAGTACTTGGGGGAGCTCATTTAATCTACCACATCAAAGGCACTGAAGATGTTCCAATATATTGAGGCTCAAGTGTGTGAAAGTGGTTTAGTTTTTGTGAGTGGTCAGCCACACATATATTCAAAGTTAGTCCTTTGATATCAAAGAGCTGGTCTTCCTTAATGGCTGTCCATCTGTAAAAGTAATTAACATTTGAGTAGAAGCTCCTAATCTGTTGGTCTCTAAAGTCATGGTGTTATATATCTTCACACACTTGTCTAAATGCAGAAGACATCAAATGATACAGCTAAATTTGGCCTCTTCCAGAAATATTCATTTTCAGAGGATCGAAAGTTCAGCACTGAAAATTAGCTAGACAGAGCCTGCAATTCAAAATAGCCTTTCCTGAAAGTAAGTCTCACTGAACTCAAAGGGGACTTACTTCTTAGTAGATGCCCATAGGAATGCATTGTATGACTGCATTACTAAACACAATTACAAGGGGAAACACTTGCAAGGTCCCATTGAGCACAGTGAGTAAATTTGCATAGGATTATGCTGCCCAGTTGTAAACCTATACACATTTACTTCCAAAGGTGGTTGGTACTCACTAGACCTGGTGGAGCTGCTAGGAGATCATGGTGTGTGACCTATGAGGTCATGGAATCACGATGGGGAGGGGAAGCACACTAAAATAAAATAAAATAGAATCTGGGACACAACCAGCATACTCAGGCCTACAAACAGACTTTTCATATGGCCCCTCAGCACATCTAATCTGTGGTTGCCTGCTGTAACAGACTTAGCTGGTGGGATGTGCAGGCAGGATGCGGTCCATGCTCCCATGCTCTGCACATTGAGTTCTCATTTGAACCATCCAACTTGTTATAATAGCATTTTAAATATGCCAGTGTGTTTTGTAATCTTTCATCCTTACAACAACTTTGTAAAGTGGGTTGTAGTGCAACAAATGGATCTGTTTTAGAACCTTATGAAGACAGAGCAGGAGCAGGAGGAGAATCTGGTGCAAGTTTTCCTGGGCTACAGTCAGATGCTCATTGTTGGTAATCCATGCAAGTTTAGGTAGTAATACATTTGTTAGCCTTTAAAGTACTACTAGACTATTATTTCATTTCTGCCCAGAGTGGCTGGAGCCACCCAGAGTGGCTGGGGAAACCAAGCCAGACGGGCAGGGTATAAATTATTATTATTATTATTATTATTATTATTATTATTATTATTATTATTTTACCCTTTTGTCTGATAGAGTACTGGAGTAATGTACCCAATACCATCCAATGACCCCGTGGCAGAGAGGAGAAATGTTAAATTAGGTCCCTCGATATTATGGTGGGCTGGGTTTTTTTGGCGTGGCAGAGTGTAAAGGCAAGACTCTTGCCAATTGGTGTACTGAGAAGGAAGATGTGCAATCATGATTAAGAATTATGAGCCCCAGAAATAAATGATCCTAGCATGCACAAACCATACCCTTTATAGAATTGGACAGCCTTTTCTTCTGAATGTCAGAATGCAAGTGTCACTATATTCAATCAGGACTCAAAAGAGAAGGCAGCACAAAGGCACTCAGCTCACATGCTTCCTTGGGAAAATTCCCATCCTGCGAGTGCCATATTTAGAAAAGTCAGTCTGTGATAGAAGTTGCATTTCCGAGACCTTATGGATTCAGACCTTACGTGCCTTTATTTTCGAGTCATATCACAGCAAGGCTGTAATTGAAAATAGACATGAGTCAATGAATGAAGAGTTCAATATCCCAGTAAAGAAAAAGAGCACAAGGTTTGTATAATAAAGGAAGGATTAGACGAAGGAGGGCAGGGGGGAGCCTGAACAACCAAAGCAACAGCTGCAGATTTATGTAGTAAATGAAGTCATAGGAGAGATGCCAGTTTTAAAAAGATTAAAGCCGCAGTCTAAAGATACACACAAGCCTCCTGTTCTGTCGTAGGCTGCTCTTGAAGTCCATAATTCCCCCCTCCCCATTTTGGGGGAAGAGTTTATTATTTATCGATTTAGCTGAAGTATTTTTATACCACCCTACAGTCATATTCCCAAGGCAGTTTACGAAAAGAATAAAGCAATTAAAATGCAAATACTAAACACACGCATGGGCACAAACTGGCAGCCACAACATTGTTAAAACAAGAGAAAAAGCAATAAGCAAGATTAAAATCTTTTTCAAATGTTATAGGGGCAGCTTGTGAAAAACAGTAGCTTGGAAGCCCCATGGAGCTCAACCCTCTGGATCTGATTCTAAATATGCTGGTTTTGAATTATGGTGGATAAAGCGTGTTCTCCCTAAAATGAGAGCACGGATTGCAGTGGGGGCTCCCAGGCCAGCCCTCTGTTGCCAGGCAGGTTAATGGCCTGGCGCAACGCTTGGCTGACCGGGTTGCTGGGGCAAATTGCATGTAGCATGGGCAAATTGCATGTAGGTGGGTGGGACCTTAGGCTTTAAATATTGGGGCTCACTGCTTCTGCTTTCTCTTTCGCAAAGTGCATCGGATCACCCGCCCGCCCGCCCACCCTGTGTTCCAGTTGACCTTACTTTGCCTGTCATGGGATCGTCTGCCTTGGCGCAGGGGCCTAGTAGGAATTTTGCCATTTGGCTGATTGGCTGGTGCCATCTGGTTTTTGCCTACTACTTAGCAATTCGTCACAACTTGTAAGGTTGCGGTTAGGCATTGGTTATAAAAATTGATGGTGGAGGGGTCAGGATAGGCTGTGCCTGCCCCTCCAATGGTGCTGGAATCCTTGGGCTTGCCACGATTTCATCCAATCCCTGAAATGGGACAAGGGCCTGCAAGCCTTGGGGAGCTGATTGGGTGAGCGGTGAGGGACTGTCGCTCAGCTCAACTGATCCCCAACATTGTTTTCCCTTCACTGGTGTCCGATGGAGTTCGAATAGTCAGTTCTGTCCCAGGCGGACAGAATTAACCAACGCCTAAGCAACCACTCACAGATTTTGTATTTTAATAAAGTTGTGGCCAAAATAGTGCCAAAAAGCTTAAACTAAATTTACGTGTGATTTGTGAATTATTTTGAGGGGTGGCTTGGGGACCTCCACACACAAACCCAGTGTCAGTCAAAGGCAGCCAAAACAACACCAAGCTTACATACCTGCTGGATCAGGGGCTAGAAATGCTTAAAGAAGTCTGAAGCATTTCACCTAGTTAATATTAAAGGTGCAACTCAGGAACTAAACTGTGGTGTGAGTCTGGCTCTGAAGAGAGTAGGGTAGTGACAGGAAGAGTGAATAAGGAAATGATTAGTGCCATGTCAACTAAATATCCATCTCACCTGCTTGCATTTGGGGGCGCAGCTGTGTTCACCCCAGTAACCAGTTTTTATAATTTATTTACTGCATTTATAGCTCACCTTTTTCTCTAAGGAGCTCAAGGTGACTTACATGGTTGTCCTCCTCTTCCTTAAATCCTGTAAGGTGGGTTAGACTGAGAGACAGTGATCAGCACTAGGTCACCCACAGAGCTTCATGGCCAAGCGGGGATTGGTCTCTCAGATCCTAGTCTGACATGCTAACCACTAGGCCACACTGACTATTTTGGAGTACATGGTGCTCCCCCTCATTTAATTGCCACAAGGAAGGACCCTGTGAGGTGCAATCCTGATCACATAGCAGATTTTCTCCATGGACAGTGCAGGGGTGGGAGAGAAGCTGGCAAGGGACACAACAGAGAGACAAGTCTCACTATCTCTCCAGACAATGCTACTTGCATGGAGAGAAAAAATTAAAATGCCTCACTACAGCTTGTATCGTGGCCATAATAGGTGACTCTGTGAATGGGAGCATCCAATCCTCTAGAAATGTGGGTGCTCTTTGGGCACCTCAGGGGAAGACCATTCAAGTGAGCTCATCTGAGCAACGCAGATTCTGATACCATCCCTAATAAAGAAACCTACTAGCCAAAATTTGAGCTTTCAACATTTTCTGAAGTACATACTCCCATTCCATTTTCCAGTCTGCAGACAGTGACAAGCATAACTGTACAAAGAGCTAATAAAGCACATATTAGGCATTTTAAGTACTACTGAACATTATTCGCTATTGTAGCCCAAGAGCCTTGGTACCTTCAAACAAAAAGCTGATTTCAAAGATAGCATGCCCACCCCGAGTCCTCAACACAAACGTTCATCATGAAACCACCATGAACCTTTGCAACAAAATGTCCTCGTGCCCTTTTTCAAAAAGCTAGTTCAAAGAAGCAGAGCAGACTTGTGCTCATCATTTACTGATGTGGTGAAGGTCATTTCTGAGGAAGCCTCTGGTTTCAGTCAGCTCCCTTCCTTTCTTTCACACACAAATGCAAACTGTTGTTGAGTGTTTAGAAGGACCTTGGTGATATGAAAAGAAGAAGACAGATGGGTACGGGGGTTAAATTCCTGTTCCAGCTCACAATTCCCTTTCCTTCTTGTTTAGATATCAGGGGGTAGAGACGTTCTGTCAAGAACCATCACAACTGCCTTTCTCCCTTCCCTAAGTTGCCTTGATGCTGGGCCACTGTTCCTCTCCACATGAGTTGCATCAGGAGAGGAGAACCTCCAGATGTTGTTGGATTGCAACTCTCATCAAACTATTGGCCATGATGGTTGGGGTTGATGGGAGTTGTAGTTTAGCAACAACTAGAAGACTAAAGTTTCCCCATTCCTGAGCTACACTGTTCTACATCCATTCAGTTCAAGGGAGGTTCCTCCATCATCTCAATTGGAGGTGTTTCATTAGACCAGGTGTGAGGAACCTTTAGTCCACCAGATTTTGCTAAACTGCAACTCACATCATTCCTGGTCATTGGCCATGCTTGCTGGGGTGATGGGACTTGTAATTCAGCAACAACTGGAGGGCTAAATGTCCCCCACACCTTGTATGTAAGGTTGCTTCTGTTTCCACCAACAGTAGGATGTACAGCTGCGTACACCTCAACTGTCCCAATTAAATTTATTAAATCGGGGCATCCCATTTTGGCATGCTCTCATGTGCGAACACGGTGTCCAAATAACGTATTTTGGGGGGCCATATTCTCATGCAGGTCACATGACTCGCATGGGAGCATGGCCCCAGAAGACACTGGTCTTGGTCTTCCACTGGGCCATGTTGGAGAGTATGCAGCAGGGCCTGGAAAAAGTCAGATCACTGAGGCTGCAAGCCTAACTTTCTTTGGCATAAGGCTTATTGAACTCATTGAAATGTGTTTTTGAGTAGATGTGTATTAGACTGCACTGCTAATGCTTCAGTGTGAGCTAGGGATGACCCACCAAAATAACATCATTTGCTTACTTTTGGCAGGTTAAAGGGTAAGTAGGTTTTCAGGATGTGAAAATGGAAGGTTCAAGTTGAGCCACAAGTCATTTTTGACCACCATGGCATTTTGGACTGTAGTCTACAGCCCCATCCTTCAGGGAAAGGTCTTTAAGGCTTAAAGGGAAGCATCAATATTTTACTTCCAGTAACGTAACAGCAACTGAAAACATAATGAGAAAAAGCCAATAACCACTGCAATTTAGGCTTCATAAATTGTTTAGCGCTGCTACATTTTACGGGATTCAAATTTTAGGAACAGCTAGTGAAGCTTTACATATATGCCCTGGGCATCCTTCTAAATGTTTGCAAAGAAAGGCTTCTGCACTTCTTACCATTCTAAGCTATGAATAGGCTTCTTCAAGTAATTGGAAAATAATAGTGAAAATGAAGCCAAGGTAATTGACATTTCTGCTCCTTTTGTCTTATTAAGAGAAAACTAATTTTGTTCCATGGAAAACCCATTGATAAACACCAAGTATTTTCAATTCAATGTTGGGATGGGTTAAATTTTTAGATAATGGTGAACAATTTTAATACCCACTCCTGAGACTGATTACCATTGGGTAGCAATGCATCTTTATATAAGCTTGAGGCATTGTATTAAAAAAAATGCCTATCTAGATTGAACAACTACTCAATTTTTAATATTTATTTAATTTATGATATATCATTTGTAATTATTTCTCTACTTACAACGTACATAGCATTGTATCGAGCTACTCAAAACCGACACATTGATACTAATGGACCTATAGTAGTCCTGTTCTTATTTTGATAGTAGGTCTAGCTGAATAGACTTAATACTGGCTACAACCCATAGTATCTGTTTCAGTGGAGAGGTTTATTCTGACTCTTAGGATGCATTTCCAAACCATTTTATTGGCTGGGGAACAAATATTTTTGTGCATTAGCACAATGATACTTCAGATTGCAGTCCATCTTAATATCAGCTTTATTGGTGGTGTGATACATTCTATTATTTGTGATTACTTTTGAAAGTCAACACGTTAATCTCATTAGCTGTTCATTGATGAGTGGGTTCGGATTGGAAAACTAGCACCTTGTCTAGGGAGCAAGACGCTGATGAAAAATATTAAAGATTACTGCAAAGAAAATTGACTGTCTTTTATAGTTAGATTCAGTTCAGTTCCTAGTTGAAACGGGATGGAAGATAGAAATTGAGCTGGACAGACATCTTTAAAATCAATGGTTATTTTTACAGATTCTGAAGGAAGGAAAGTGGTAAAATATTTAGAAGAGTGTGCTAACTCACATGGAAAAAACCCAACGTAAATCAAATTTGAACAATGTAGCTTTGCTTTAATCATCACAGATTTGTGGCATTTGCCTATTTATTTCAGGTTCCTTTAATGCTGCTTAAAGTTTTGACTATTTCTGAGCTCACAGTGGATAAAGTTTAGCACAGAGTTCAGGTTACTTTGCTGAAATGCTTACTTCATTGTTTCTTGGTGTTTTACTTCAAAACCCTATGCATATTTACATGGAAAAAAGCCTCACTGGGATTACTCCCAGGTAAATGATTATAGGATTTCAGTTCCCATTGCTCTTATTTTTGTGCTCTGATTGTACACCGTGGCTTTTACATGAATGGGAATGTAGACCTGGCTCGTTACATTGCAATACAGTTCTAAATGGGACCCACTCTTCAGATAATAAGCAGTCTATAAATGGAAATCATAAAAAGTAGAATTAATGAATGAATGGTGGTGCCCTGCTTTTCTAATAGGCACTCTAAGTGGATTGCAACGAATAGTGCATCATAATTCAAATAGCTTTTCTGAGATAAATTGGGACTCTTCACTATCCTCTGATGATGTATGATTGATTGTATGTTTTGTGAGTTTAATGGTTCAGTGGTACTACTGTCATTTTCATTTATTGCTATTTCAGAAGGCAAAAACCAACAGGCCCCATTTTTTTTGGCTGACTGGCACAATGAGTAGATTAAGGATAGTGGCTAAAACTCTAGCAGATGGGCTGAGCCTGGCTTCCACAACAGAAAAGGCTGAAATTAGATGCTGCAAAGACTGTAAGGATGAAACAGTCTAGCACCTCCTCCCCCTCCCTTCCACAATGTGATATGACATCATCTGCTTGCAACATGACTACATCATTACATTGATAGTCTGTCCAGGCCTCCAAACAGCAGCCAATAAAGTGGAGCAGAGATGGAAAACTAACAACACAATAATGTAAAGTCCACTGTTATGAGGTGTTGCGGGGAGAGAGAGAAGGAGGTAACAAGATGGCTGCTGCGTGGGCACTAGTCACATGATCACTGAACCATTTAATTTCAGCCTGGGGCCAGGTTATGAAGATCAAAGTTCTTCTGCCAGGATCCCTATGAAACATATGCAACCAATATGGCTTTTGTACTGACCAGACCAGAAGATGGGCTAGCCTTCTCCCTTATGCCTCACACAATGATTCTGTTGTTGGAATGCTGGTACCCACTTATCAGTGTACCATATCACCTATGTTTATCTTTAGGACTGTGGTTATCAGTCTTTCAACTGTATTGTCTCTGACAATAGCCATTTAAATCTGGCTTCTTTCAAAATCCCTCTCCTGGCACTCTGAAGTGTCTTGAATGTCCTTTCAGACACATGGATGCACTGATTTAAATAGTTTGAAATGCCTCCTTTTCAATTTATAATATCTACCTGTGTCTTCTTCCTCTTCAGTTTCCAGGGTGAAAGCCTTCTTACCCTCCTCCCTATTGTTTTTCACAAGTACTGATTAGCAGGAAGTTTGTGCTGAGTATAATAATTGGGGTAGATGAGATACTGAAGAAGTCAAGAAAATGAACAGAAAAGCCAACGCTTTGCTACGCGAATGACAGGGTGAAATTATGTCTTTATGCTTCTCTTGTGACAGGCAGGCTAAAAGGTGAGCTAATTTTGCAATATTCTGAGACACCTTTATGGTATTTTGCTGTAAAGACAGTTGTTCCTGTCAGACAAAAAATATGTTGTGAATATTCTGCACCACCACCACCTATCCTTTAGATGAAAATTGCAGCTGCAACATATCCGGTGGCAGTTCCCCCCTTTCTTCCATTTTTCTGTTGCCATAGCAATGCACGAGACACCAAAACTGCATCATCACACTTGCCTAGAGAAATACTTTCACTGTATTTAATGGAAGTTTTTGCTTTAACTAATCAGCACTCTAACTAATCACCATTCCTTACATTTTCAATAAAAAATCCCTCACTTTAGCATTTTGTTTTTAACCCCAGGGGTATATTTTCTTAATTTTCTGTGAATAGAGAATCTAACATAACAGAATGATATATTTTTAACAACAGCAAGAGGCACTTTTGTCAGCTATGAAACCTAAAACAGTATGAAATATAAGAGTTTCCATTTTCCTCACCAAATAGACCTTAATATTTTTGAGCAAGGGCTCAGAAATGTTTAGTTTCAGTCCTTGATTTTTGTGTCAACGGTATTTTGGAATATGTGAAGTATATTTGAACATTATATTAAAAAAATTCAAAATAGCATACTAAAACAATCAATACATTTCCATAGCTACATGGCATCTATCATAGAGGTCCTCAGACTTTATCTAGAAACGCCCATCCAAATGGAAGGAGGGTCTGAGTCCCCAAATCCCAAAGTTTCTAAAAGGTCATGCATGGATGTAATAATAAAAACAATTGTAATAAAAATGAGATTTTGTGAAGAGAGCCTCTTTTTACTACCATGCAACCATAGTCAACTCCCCCGATACCCCTCGCTTTTAGAAACTGTATTGAAGCAATAAGCTACTTCTCTAACCTGCTGCTGTCTTTTGCTATATTGCTTTCCCTGGAATGCTCATGGCATCTTAATGATTAAAAAGAAAAATCTCTGCCTGCCTCCTGCTGTATCCATTCACTGACATTCAAATGACATGAATCTTTCCTACCAGTGGTTCCACTTACATTTCTCCCTCTTGTAGCAGAAACTTCTTTCATACCACTTGCTTTGAGTCACCCTTCAGTGAAAAACGTATTGATAAGAATGTCGGCTGTCTCCTTAGTAGACGCTGCATAGGGGGGTGGTTGTGTTGGAGTGAAGATGAACTTGGCCTGGGGCGATGGAGGGAAGAGGCAGGGCTGGGATTAGCCAGCAAGGAAGGCCCCCTTTGTCAAAGAATGTTATGAAGAAGAAATAGTAGAGATGCCTCTGCCATGGTTATTCCCATAGTTATTCTTTATTTTAGAGCTATTCAATGTCACTTTTAAATTTTCTTTAGGATTTGCGCTGAGGTCAAGATGCATGCAAATTTGCCGCATGAATTCCAATTCCCTTTGCAATTTGCAGTGAAACTGGAACTCATAGCATTTCTAATATCTGAAAAATATTTCGGCGATAACATTCAGCTGGGTACACGGAATCACTCTGTGGGGTTGGAGCTGGGCATTCAGCTAGCATTTAAAAGCATACTGAGTTAACTTGCACTTTTCAAAACAATATGCAAAAGTGAAACATGCAGTCCTTCAAAATGTCCATTTCTCTGAATTTTGCGACACAGCTCTGCAGCCCAGTAATGTGTACAAAAATGCATGCAGATGGGACTGAAATATAGTGGCAAGCAGGCCCATGGGTAACGGATGGAGGTGAAATGATCCACACTTTGTGATCCACCACCTGAGGCACATTCCCCCCAATGCAATGTTATAGGACCGGCCCTGTCTATATTTTCATGGTGTTTTACTCTTGTCATCACCAGCCATCATTATCTTCAAGCTACCTTTCTATGCCAAACTGTGTTCATCCCCCAGAGTGAGGACTAACATACATTTTTTTATTAGTAAGTGCAAATAGATTTGCTTTTAAATGCAAACTGAATTGAATTCCTCCCCCGTTCTCTATTACTCAGTGTCTCAATATTTTACCTTGCTGTCCCTGTGTAGATATTATTAGCTTACAATATTTGTCTAAATATTTAGGGAGAAAGGGCATCCAAAAATACCTGAATATGACTGGCGTCTAAAATGACATATAGACAAGAGTAGACCATTAATTAGATCCACAAATGCCAGCTTTCATAAAAGATACCATGTATCACTTTTCTAGGCCTCCAAATAACAACACGCCAAACAAGTATGGAAATATATATTCTTCCGGCAGTTTCCATAGCTTAAAAAAGGTTAAATGTGAAGCTCAGGCCATTATGGAACTAACTTTCAGAGATGAAAGCATGAAGCATTGTTCCTAGAAGTCATTATTACCAGGCAGCAGAAAAGGATGTCCATCACATTAAAAACCTGTCACAGTTTTCTTTATGAGGAGCATTATTGGAAGCTGCTATTCCTGTTCCCCTTATATATATATTTTAAAAAGTCATTTTTCATCATATTTGTTAACAAAATTTAAACTCTTCCTTCCTTCCATAGCACAGAATCCATCATTAGCAAGATACATATCTTTTATTGAGCATTTTCTTATTTAGCACTCAACAGAGGTGCCTATTGTTTTAACTTTTAAACTCCTCTAAATATAAAGAGCACCCTGCAGTTGAGAGGGTGGTGGTAAAAAAATAAAAACAAAAGCTTGCAAAATAAAAGACCTTCTGGGAGTGTATTAGTGTATTTTTCATCAATGAACTTCAAGAGCAGCTTCCAAATTCAAAGAAAGCATTTAAATACAATCCTCATGTAAATAACAATAACAAATAAATGCATATGCATTTCAAATATATAAAATGCAAATGCAAATCCCATTAATCAAAATGGAACTCATTTTTCTCCTTCTTCCCAAAGTACATGGAGAATAGCCATCCACGTACCAGAGTGTCTTCACTCTGGGTTCAGGGAATTATGATCCCTCCCCCTGGTGGCAGTCAAAAAGCAGATAACCAAAAAGAGTTCTTACCACATAATTTATTCAGTATTCACACAGAGAGACAAAGGAATGCTGTCTCTCTTAGATAATGGCATTGTTCCAAATAAAGTCCCACCCCTTCAGTCCCTCCTAATCTACGTTACCCCTGCGCCGGCTAGTCAGTGCTTTCTGCCTCTCAGATTTCTGTTCTGCTACTCTACTCTCACTCTCCTGGTTTTGGGAGGGGCGGATCAGGAATGCTTTCAAGAGATACTGAATCTGTTATTTGTCTCTCCTCTGGTGCTTCCCCTTCCTCCTCCTCCTCCTGCTGCTGCTCCAATATTTCCCAGCTTTTTCTCTTGGCAGTATCTGCACTATGCCCTTCTGCAAACCACTGTTCTAAATCTATACTGTCCTCCTCTTTTCGGGAAGGTGGGGGGTGTGATCACACAGGGTCCCTGGACGTTTCACTGTCTATTGATCCCTGTGCCACCACGTTATTTCTCACTGCCACCAGTCAGGGTTAAAATGGAACATAAACTTTTGTTTATTTATTGCAGTTTAACAAGCATATGATTTCATAAACAGTATCAGTCAGTTACAATCATGGGGTGCCTATCCAGACCTATAACTTCTGCTACCTTCTCTCACTCACTAAACGACCTCTCAGATATTTACTTGTCTTCCTAGCCCCTAACTATTCCTGACCCAGCTTATTTCACTACACTAGCTAAACCTACCCACAAACTCTATCCCAATTCATTCCCACTCCAACCAACCACCCAACTCCCAACGAACTCCTCCCTTTGCCCCTCCCAGAGCTGGTTTTATAGTCCCTCTGATTCCACCCCCCTGGGTCCTGATTGGGTAACCTGTTTAACTATTTCACCTCCAGGATTCTCGTATGTTAATGTCACAGGTGGTGGCTCCCACCATTCCTCAGTCCAGCCCCTGACATTGAGCACTTCTTTTACTGCTGTATATAATTTCCTGGAATATCCAGAAAACCTAGACATAGGTACAACCTCTTTATTTTACTCATCTATAAGTATTTTCATGCTTTGGACTGATCACTTTTAAAGGATTCTGATCCAGCTAAAGTTAATCATGGCTGGGTCTCACAGAAAGTACCGCAATCAGAGTAAAGTTAGTGGCAGGGTAGTCTTACACTGGATCACAATCACTGATCTATCTAGTTTGGTATTAGCTACACCAAGCTCTCCAAGGTTTGCAGATAAGACAGTTTTCTCAGCACCACCAGGAGTGGTCAGGGGCTGAACTTGGGATCTTTACATGCAAAGTGTGTGTTCTACCACCGAGTTGCAATCACAGTGGACATAAGCTGGACTGGGACTTCATGGTTCATATACAGTAATTACAATAGACATCCATTCAGTCTGGTCCTTGCTATTTGAATGGCAGTGCCTGTGGGTTTGAGACTGGGGAGATACAACAGTTACATCAGGGTATCTTTAGGAAACATGGTATTATTTCAGAGTTGTGGCGCCTTTTCTGTGTAAATGTTCTAGATCAGGATACTAGTAGTGCAGCCAAATAAGAAGAGAATACATTTTCCTCATAATTTCACTGGAGTGAAATTTAACTGCAAGTCCAGTCATTCTGTGAGCAGAGTGGTGTGAGTAGGCACAATTTTGTCTGTTGCCTCACCCAGGGAATGCCTTGTGCAATATCTTCATTGTGTCCATTCTGCTGCCCATAAAGTTCCCCATTCACAGCAGGAACATATGAAGCTGCCTCCTACCAAGTCAGACCATTGTTCCATTTACCTCAGTATTGTCTACACTGACCGGCAGTGGCTCTTCAGGGATTCAGGCAGGGCATATCTCACCATCCCACCTGGAGAAGGCAGGGATTGAACCTGGAACCTTTTGCATGCATTCAGCTATGGCCCTTCCTGCAACATGCACACACACACACAAAATCTCTTATGCTCATACCACACATACACACCATTCCTATATTACTCACATGATGAACAACTTTCTCACACTGGGTAATAGTTGACAAACACCAGTATAATGCCTAGTAAAATGAGTTTTTGCTTCCCTAATTTCATAGATTGTAAATATACAAGTGTCATGCAAGATTCCTCCTAATGACTAAAAACAACTTATGTGTATCAAGTATGCAAATTGATACAATATGTTTTCCAATTAGACATGGACCAGTGTTGGTGGTGATATTAACAATCCAGCATTGAAACCAATTCAATCACTGACTTCTGCACTTGGGACTGGGTTTATGCCAGGGGTCACTGGAGCTTGGTCCTGACTTTTTCTTTTTCTTTTTCCAGTGTCAAGACTCAATCTCAGAACACAGAAGGTTTGAATGGATGTATTTGTCTATGACCACACACAGAGCG